ACGGGAGCAGTAAGGAGTGGCCATGGCTGTAGCCCGCCAGGTGGGAGGGGAGTTTTGGTCCAGGACCTGGGCTTCTAACCAGAGCCCCTAGTGCCTGAAGCAGAGATGTGGAAGGAGACTGCTCTTTGGGCAAGGACGTGTGGGAACAGTGTGGAGGTGGGAAAGCAGTTACCCAGAACCTTCCGGAACGGTCCAGGTCACAGGCAGTGAGGTTCTGAACCGCAGGGACCAGGCAGGGGCCTGACTGGGGAGACTTCTGGGCGAGAAGGGACGGAGCCGGTGAGGTTCTGTGGGGTAGGGGGAGGTCCCCAAGGCCGTTCCGGGACGTCTGGCCCAGGATCTGGGGGTGGGCGAAAGAGGAGGGGGCAGGGGCCCGGTTCAGAGCCGGAAGCATCTGAGAGCAGGCGTGGACGTCGTTACAAATACGCTGGAAATGGCTTCAGTTCAGAAGATGAGTTTGCTGGCGAACAGTTACCTTCCTTGGAACCAGGGCTGAGGAGGGTCGGTGGAGAACGCTGCGGCGTCAACAGCCGACTTGGCGAGTCGTTTTCCCTTTGACATAAGTGGACACGTGAAATACAGCAACAAGGAAGCACGGCCTCACTGAAGGGAGGCGGTGGTGTGGACGGGAGGGTCGTGGGGCGGCCGCGAGGATGCTGTGTGCCCGTGCTGCCACACTGGCGTCTTCAGAGTGGCTGCTGCGCGGTCTCGTCTCCAGGCTCCCTCCGCAAGACCCTTCCAAGATGATTAACCGACTTGAAGAAACCTTTCCCGGAAGTTCCACATGGGACATGTGGGTGGGACGGTCCCTGAAAATCCCGTTAGCCCTGCAAGCATGGTCACCTCTTAGCCCTGTGGGGTCCACCCTTTGGGGCCGTGTGCAGAGCAGCTCTTCCTGGGGTCAGCTGGGGGGCCATCCACCTACGGGGCGGGCATGAGATGCCTGTCGACGGGGACGAGGACGGGGACGTGCTCCTGGAGCTGGGAGTGAGATCCCCCGTGCATGTTCTCAGTGTCAGGACAGTACATGTGGGGTCTGGCATGTTCCCGGAGCTGTTGCAGTTTCGCAGGAGAGGTGAGCGACTGGCCAAAACAACAAGAAGACAGAGGAATCCGGGGTCAGGACCAGGATGGTCTTTAAAGGGTTGAATCAGGTCTGTGAAGGAAAATAGAGCTAATGGCTGGGCAAAGGAATGTGGTGCAGAGACAGACACAAAATGGGAATATAAACTTGAGGGGAGTTAGGGCAAAACTAGAAGCGGGCCCAGAAGAGAGTCGGCCCCAGGGGCATCTAGAGAGTCCAGAGGGCCTGCTCTGAAATCCAGGAGCCGCGGTGGGAGCCGCGGTGGGTCCAGGAGAGACAAGGCCTGGCGTTGAGGTGCATCTGCAGACTCTGCCCCTTGTTCCTGGGGAGCAAACCCAGCTCCCCAGCACCTCCCTTCTCCCGATAGGAGAGGAAGCGCAGGAGGCCAGAGCCAGAAGCACGTGTGTTTCTGCGCTGGAGGGGTGTGTGGGAGGGAGCAGGGCGGCACAGACCGAGGGGAGGCCCCAGGGGGCCTCTCCTTGTGAGTCCATGAAAGCCTCTGAGGGTGGGAAGCGTTTATGAAAATACTTTAAGACGTTGCATTCGCCTTTGGTGAGCCTGCCTGTCTCGTCCTACCAGTCGTCATCCCACTGGTCTGGGATGTGGGGAAGGCCCCACTCAGTGACCTGCTGGTCAAGACCCGCTGCACCGCCCTTCATCCCAGGAGAAAGTCGTGCCAGGAAAACGGGACCTTCTCTGGTCTCTGGGATGCCCGCCCCGCTTCAGGATGCCTTTACCAGGGCCAGAGGTCGCCTCCTCATCCTGCAGGTGGCCATCAGGGACCATGTGACCGTGGTCAGCTGGCGTGGATCCAGGTGTGCCACGGAGGGTGCTCTGGAGCCAGCTGGCTGGATTCAGCTCCTGGGCAGGCCCCTCCCTCCCATGAGCTGGGAGTGGGTCTCAGTCTTATCATCCACAAACAGGAATGGCAGCCCCTTCCTCTCGGGGCCGCTGGGACCCCCCAGGTGTTGGCCCAAAGTCAGGTCTAGGGGCCCCCCCACACTGGCTCAGCTTTCCGGGTCTCATCTTTTCTCCATTTCTTGGAGCATCATCTGATGTGGGCTCCTAATCGTGTGTCTGCTCCTCCCGCCCTGCAGGACACAGGCCCCCCGACAGCCGGTGAGTGGCCACCACCAGGCCACTTTTCAGACGAGCTCACGAGGCAAGGAGCTGGCTCTGGCTGGGCGCAGGGCCATGTCCCGCAGAGGCTCCCGATTTGGTCCGAGCCGATAAATGCTCCTGGTGTGGAGTGTGCTTGGAGCGAAGGAGAAGCCGCATGGAGAGCTTAGGGCCGAGCCCACGTGCCCAGGGCTCAGCAACTTTCATCCAAGACCCTGCCCGCCAGGACCTTTAGCTCCACTCCCTCTTGGTCGCTGCGGGACCGCAGCCACATGTGAGCGGCTCCCCCTGGGGCCAGGTCATTCCTCTGCCCTGTGACCCAAGGCAGGGGGAGCAGATTCCGACCCCACGGTGCAGCACAGGCATCTCAGCCCGGATCCTAGCCCCGTGCACCCGTGGCTGCTGGCCGGGCAGGTGGGCAGCCTGTCTGGTCCTGCCCACCTAGCCCTGGTGTCGCCTGAGACACAGGGGGAGCAGCAGAGAACGCTGTGCGCTAGTGTTGGACTGTGGGGCTGGTGATTTCTGAGGTGGCAGTCGCACCTGCAGCCACATGGATCCTGGGCACACCCCCTGTGAAGGAGGACGTTCCTTCGGGGGCACCCAGAGGCCCCCGGGCCCGGCACACAGCACAGGCTTGTCCTGTCCTCACACAGCTCCGGGCTGACCTTAACCTAACCAGCTCCTAGCCCTCGTCCGCTCCCACCAAATCTCCCATCCGTCCCTCCCAGGGTCACGCCTCCCCCCCAGGGTCGTGCCTCCTTCCTTTCCCGGCATGGCCAGACGTCTCATCTGGATGCCCAGGTTTGGCTGGAGCCTCTTAGTCCCTTTTCTTTATATTCTGTTGCAGAAGGGTAAACGCCGGTTAAAAATAAAACATGTTGGCTTTGGGGCTTTTAAAAACCAGAATGGGTTTTTCTGAGGTACCCGCATTGCAGCCAGCCCTGGGTGGTTACCAGGACCTGAGCCCCGCCCTGCTCTGTGTGCCATGGAGCTGTGAGCGACCAGAAGCCCTGGCACGACTTTCCGTGTTTCTCAGGGTGTGAGACTCATTTGGAAAGCAGCCCTAAAGGAGGGTGTGCCCTCCCTCCAAGGGGTCTCCTGATGTGCCTCCGTCCCCTCCACCAGTTCTCCTGGCACCCTGGGAGCACCTTCCCTAGACGCGGATCCGATGGGCCCGTGGGCGCAGGCTCCTCCGTGAGCCCTGCGCTGAGATCTGGTGCTGCCCGCCAGCTCCCCTGAGTGCCGGTGCCAGGAGCCCCGCCCACCTGCCGGCGCAGGGCGGACCTGTTTCCACCTCTGGGCTCCTGACAAGGAGTCGCCTGCCAGGAGTCTGAGTCGCTCCGCCCTCTCCCGCCCCCACGGAACTCCTGCTTGGCCCTTTAGACACACCCGCCACCCAGCTGGCCTGGTCATCCCCGGTGAGGGCCTGGGTACAAGGGGGGTCCAGCCCTGGGGCCGCTTTCCTCTGAGCGGCATGGCTGGGGTCCTGTGGCCCCTGGGAGCCGAGTGATGACTGTGAGCCTGGAGCATGAGGTCACTTGTTCTGCACCTCTCAGGTGAGGAAACTGAGGCCCAGCTCGGTAGTCAGATTTAGAATCTGGACTTCCCATCGAGAGCCCCCGGGGTCCTGAGACCGAGACCACCGAAGTCCAGCCCAGAAAGGCATGTGTCACCTGTCTTCACCTTCCTGAGTCCAGCACACCGGACGGCCCTTTGTGCCCTCCAGGTCATGGTGTGGGGGGTGAGTACTGGCCACCCACCACCCACAGCCCCCAGCTCCCCAGGCCACAGCCGGCTCCAGTCCAGCCCTGAGGCATCCACGGATGGGCTGAGTCTCACCCTCCAGTGTCCGTGGCCAGGGTGGCATGTGGTTCGACCCACGGCTCCAGCTGTGTTTGCTCTCTGACTGCGGATCTGCCCACAGCCCCGCCCGGATTGATCAGGTTTGTGAAATGGCTTGTTGACCTAGGAGGAGGAGCTGCTCCCTGCCCAGGTCGCTTCTGCCCATGTTGGGGCTTGTGCAGCACAAATGGAGCGGCTGTGCCTGCCGCCCTCAGGTGGGAATGGTGGGTCGTCCATAAACACTCGGTCCCAGGCCCCGCCCGGAAGCGGAGAGGCTCATTGTTGAGAGCGATGGTATCTGGAGCTGTGAGTCTGTTTTTCCAATCAGGCGCGGAGAGTGTTCCTGCTCAGCGTGGGAGCCGCCCGGCCCTCTGCCAGCCCCTGCAGCCGGCGCTTCTGCCCCGGGCCCTGCAGGAGGGGGTCCGGAGCCCCTTGTGCGAATTCCGTCCAAACTGCCAGGTATCTGCTGGAGCCCGCCGGTCCAGCCACGGCTCCGACCATCTTTCCTCCTCGTGCTCCTTACCCCTCTACGTAACACATTAGCACGCACCCCGATGTCGGCTTCATACGCGCTTGTTGGGGTCCGTAGAGAAAACAGGCAAAGATAAGAGCAAGGACTGGAGGTAAGACGGTTCGCACCCCTGCTGGACCCGCCACTCACCGCCGCTGAGCGCTGGACTCATCACGCTGGGCCTGGGGAGAGAAAACTTAATGCATAAATGACTGGGAAACGGGACTCAAAAGTGCAGTAACACACCAGACAGGGTGGTGCTAAGAGGAAGGCCCCTGGGGCCGGGGTGTGGGGTGAGGGCTGGCGAGGGGGCTGGGTCCACGCCGGCTTGGAGGGGGCCACTGACTTGATTTCCCGAGCTGCTTGGCCTGCCAGAGTTGGTGTGAAGAGGGAAGGAAGGGAAGCCTCAGAGGAGCAGAGAAGAAGCTTGTGGCTGTATGGGCCCCGTCCTGGCCCCGGCACCGTGCGCTCGGCTCTCTGTGGCACCAGAGCCGTGCCAGGAGGGCCACGGAGCGCGTGTGTCGCTGTGTGGACGTATTTGGCTGGGGCGCCCGATTTCACGCGTCTGTCTTGTGTTGCCCCTAATGGTAAACGATGTGGAAACCAGACAGCAGCCAGCGCCTCCCACGGGAGGCGGTCAGACCCCTGGCGCTGGAATCCCACAGACAGAAGCGGGTGGAGCTCCGTGTCCCAGTGCACATCTGCAACCCGATGTGGTGGGAAGTGGGTCTCCAGTGTGTGCGCTCAGAGCCAGCGAGGCCAAGCTGGTCTGAAGTTCTGGCAGAGGAGAGGAGGTGGTGGTCGCCCGTGCTGGCTCCCACTGCAGCAGCGTGGCCGGGTGCCTAGAGCACAGTTCTCTGTGGCAGCCTCCCGTGACTGCGACAGACCGAGAGCACGTCGGGCCCGTGAGCCCCTGGCCAGCTGCCTTCTCCTCAGGCTCACTGTGGCCTCAGCCCAGAGGGCATGAGCGGTCATGGATCTGAGAAGCAGGAGCCCTGTTGCTTGTGGTGGCTGCCCGTCCATGAGTTGGAAGCCCATGGATGGGCGCTGAGGCCCAGCCTGTGAGGAGCCCGTGGGGCAGGCAGCCCCCTTCCTGCCTTTACAGGAGCCTGCAGGCCAGGCTCCAAAATGAGACCAACAGACATCTTCGGGGCGGGTAAAGGAATCCAGAAGAAAGAGCTGCGTGGGGCGTGGGGCCTGGCCAGGCTAGACCCCTGAGCCAGGAGGTGGGACCTGGGGCGGTGTGGGGTCTGCGGGTCAGGGCGGAGTCTGCAAAGCAGTGGAGACCGGATACTCAGGGCTCCCAAGGCCACTGGTGGTTTGACTGGCTTCTCTTCCTGAATCCTGTGCAAGAAACCCAGTCAAGACGACGCTGGTCCCTGGGGAAGGGGTTGGTCCAGGCCCCGCCTCGGGGTTGGGAACCACTGTAGGCCCTGGAGGTGGGCTCCTGCTAACCAGGCGAAGGGCATGGAGAAGCTGAGGGCGGTGGGAGAGTGCGGGAGCCCCCTCGGTGGTCTCTTAGCCTCGGGGCTTGTGCCTCAGGGAAGCTTGTCTGGGCTTATAAATCACCCAGTTATGGAATACATGCCAAGGTCCAAGGGATTTAAATGGTGAGAAGTGGAATATTAATGCTTTTTAATTCTACTAAAAATGTATGAAAAACACTTCTACTCTCACTACAAAAATGTGTTTTAAATGTGCGTCATCTGACTCAACAGGCTTCGTAGTTTTTCCGCGTCTGATGTCATGGATCAAAGCCAGTTCAGCGCTCAGAGAGCGCCACTTTTAGTGAAATTGTTCTCACGGCCGTCGTGGCTGAAACGGGAGCGCGTGCAGTGGGCGGGTCGCTGTCCCCATCCGAGGTTTTCAGTCTCCTTCAGCAGTTACGCAGGTGGCGGTCAAGTTCAGCTTCCCGTCGTCTAGAAAATTCCTGTCTTTATTAATGCTGGTGTGTTGTTCTTGCGGACTAATTAGAAGGTGTCGTGTTTTTGTGTTTCAGTGGGTTTATGTTTCGTGGGGTCAGAACTCACTGTCACTGTTCAGCTGGATCATTTTGTTGGGAAACTTGCCTTAGTGCGTGTGAGGTTTTTTAAATCATTCTGTTGAGGTCGTGATGGTTCATAGCGTTGTGTGATTCGTGTGTGGGTCTTTAACCTGAAAAGCTCTGTTTGGAAGATGCCCTCCCCTTAGTGGAAATGTGGTTGCTTCTCACTTGGGATTAAACGAGCTGGCCTCACAGTTTTCCTTCTTCTGGGCGCCGTCTTGCCAGATCTGATGGGACGGTCGCGGTTTCCTGCCTGAGTGATGCTGTCGGTGCATCGTGGTCGTCTGTTCATTCCTGCTCTGGAGTCTTGATTCTGCAGTCGGCCTTAGGTGAGGGCTGGAGGGTGCGGTCTGCAGAGTCCCTGGGTTGGGTGCACGGAACCGTGGTGCTGCGTGTGCCGAGAGCTAGCCCCAGGGGACGAGCTGGCCTGCCAGGCCCTCTGCGTGGTGGCTGCCCACCCTTTGGGTCCCCACCCCGTGACGGCACGTGGCCCAAGGTTGGGAGGCCCAGGCACCCCTGGTGTAGCGGTTTCCTGCTGTGTCCACAGCTGGAACTTGTGGTAGAAGTGGGGAGATGGAGGTGGGATGGTCACGGCTGGCTGGCCGGCTGACCAGTCACGCAGGGTCAGCCTGAGGGCCCGCGTGTCCCCGAGAAGTCTGCTTTTTATCCTCTGACAGTGGGTTGACTTTGGGGGCAGAGAAAATGCGTTCGGCTTAGGAGAGCCGAGTGGACAGACTGCAGGACACGAGAGCCCAGGGCAGAGCCCCAGGGAGCAGCAGCTAAGGTGGGAAGGAGCAGCGCTGTAACAATGGGGGAGCTGAAGGACGGGGAGGAGGGCAAGGACTCGAGAGGAGGGTGGGGAGGACGTGGGAGGAGGACGTGGGAGGGGCACAGTGAGTTCACAGGAGGGGGACAGCGTGGGCACAGAGGACTGAGCAGCCGGTGTCCGGCTTCGCCTGCTCCTGGAGGCTTTGCTGAGCCAACCGCTGAGAGCGACACCTGCCTCCAGGGTTGCCATGACGACTAAACCAGGCCAGGTGGTGAGGGAGGCCTGAGCAGATAAGGGCGCAGCCTCGAGGTGCTCCTCTCGCCGTGCTGCCCAGCAGAGGAGGCCGCGCGCCCAACACTTCGGCTCTGCTCTCTGCGGCATTCTGGATCTGGAGCCTATTTTAAAGTTAGACGGTATTTTTCTAAGGTTCGAAGGGACACAGTTTTGCCCACAGGGAGACTGTTCCGTGTTTTGGTTGGCTTTTCCTCCCTCCTACGGGGAAGGACTAATGCCCAGCTCCTGTAAATACTTGAGCTCAGCTGGGCGGGAGGTGGGGTGCTGCCGCCGGGGAGCCGCCCACCTCAGGCTGCAGGTTCTCAGGGCTGGGCCAGCCTTCACGGCCGTGTACACTGTGTGTGTTTGAAGTATGACGTGGCATGTACCTGTGCTGAATACTGCAGGTTTGACAGCAATGCTGCGTTTCCTCAAGTGGATGAACAGTGAAGCGGGCTGTCCACCATTTCCTTACGGCTCAGGACCCCCCGCAGGGTCCCGGCACATTCAGACCGGGAGACTCTGGCCCTCCCTTCGAACCACCCTTCTCCCAGAGGAGCCTCAGCAGGCCCTGGCCCCAGAACTGCTCTCGGGGAAACAGACCTTTGGAGCCAGGATCCTGTTTCTGTGCCTTTAACTGGCAGCCGGAAATGAGCAAGGCCTGCGTCTCGCCCGGGAGCCGTGATCTGTGGCTTCCAGGCCCCGTCCTGTCCCGTCAGGCCTCGTGTTCTCGCGATGTTCTGCAGGGCCTCACTCTCTCCTTCTTGTGTGGTTGCATGCCTGCACTGTTGGAACCTATGAAATTGTCTTTTTAGGGCTGGCCCTGTGGCATAGTGGTTAAGTTTGGCACATGTCCCACTTACAAAATGGGGGAAGATGTTAGTTCAGGGATGATCATCCTCAAGCAAAAAAAGAGGAAGATGAGGGCCGGCCCAGCGGCGTATGGTTAAGTTCACATGCTCCGCTTTGGTGGCCCAGGTTCACAGGTTTGAATCCTGGGCATAGACCTACACCACTCAGCCATGCTGTGGCCGTGACCCACATGCAAAATAGGAGATGATGGCACAGATAGTAGCTCAGGGACAATCTTCCTCAAGCCAAAAAAAGAAAAAAAAGAAAAAGGAGAAATTGTCCACAAAACCCTCTGACCCGACACAGTGAAGCATGTTTATGTCTCAGGCAAACACCCTCTCTGCCTGGCAGCCGCGCCCCGTGCACGGGCTCTCGTCCTGGACAAGCGCTCGCTGGCCAGCTGGTGGCTCATTCACAGACCGTCAAACGAGGGAGAACGTGAAACGGGGGGTGGGACGCTGCCCGTTTATGAGAAGAGTGACTAACTTACCATCAGCTGCTCAGGGCTGATGGTCACTAACCCCCAGCGATGACCAGGCCCCTGCAGCCTGTGTGTCAGCTGCTCACGGGCGCCGCTCCAGGCTCAGCTGTCCCCACAGTGAGCGTCGTCCCCACGCCCAGGGCCGACCTCTGAGGCTCCATGAGGCTACGGCTACTGAGCCGGTTCCCAGAGCCAGCATCTGGCCCTGGAGACTTTGCCAGAAATGCCTGCATGCCCTTTGGCCTCACACCTGCCCACACCCCCTCCCCACGAGGGCCGGTGTGCGTTCACTCCTTACCTGATCCACACTCTCGAGAGAACGTCACCTGGTAGAAGTGAAAACAGAGAGGAGAACCGGTGGTCCTTGAACTGACAGCTCAGCGAGAATAAAGCCCTGGTGGGCTGCCAGGGGGAAGCAACCCAGTTGGTGGTGGAGACTGAGGCCGAGCGCAGGGCGTGGGGAACGGCGATGAGTGCACAGGGCGCTGACTGCTGGAATGAGGGGCTCAGAGACCTCCTGGGCAGCAGAGTCACGGAAGAGCTGACCTCGCACCAGAATTCCACACTCTGGGCCTCTCAGGGCTGCAGGGGGGCGAGGAGAGTGCATTCTGGAGAAAATGTCCACACAGCTTCGTCTCCCGTCTCCTCACTTCTGCTCCTGCCCGCTGTGGTCACATTCCTTTAACACGCATTCATCACGCACCTGCCACGTGGCAGGCACGGCTCTGAGTGCCAGAGATGCAACAGGGAGCCGGAGGGACAAAGAGCTCGGCCATGGAGGCTGAGTCCTGGTGGGTTAGCACCAGACACAAGTGTGGCGAGATGGGCGTGAGCCGTGGGCATGGCGGGTGAGGACGGGCTGGGGACATGCGGAGATGGGTCACAGTGGAGGGGGGCGGCGAGGGTGGCTCCCTGGGTAGGAGACGGCGGGCAAGACTGTAGGTGAGCGAGGGCGTCACTCGGTGGACGTTGGGGTGGAGAGACCAGCCGAGCCGATTGACCACTGGGGATTTTTTTCCCCGGACCCTTCAGTGCCCGCGGCCTGTGCTGGGAAATAGTGCGAGCACATGGGGTGTGCACTGCCCCCTGCCTCTGGGACGCCCTCCTCCGCTAGGAGCACTGGGGTCCGACCCTTCCCTTCTAGTCCCTGCACCTCCCGGGGCAGGTGGCTCGATTTCTTGGATGAATGAGACACATGTCCTTAGAGGGAAAACCTCAGGCAGACCAGCAGCTTCCTTTTAAACGCTGTGTCTGGTTCCAAAGGGGACCAGCTCTAAAGGAGAGCAAATGCTTGTTTCGTATGGACTCCAGTGTGGTGTGTTCTGGATTGTTCTGCAGAAGTGCATGGCAACCGTTAGAAACCCGCCCAACCCATGCTTCCCGAGCCGCTGGCCTTGGAGGCCGTGTCTCTGTGCAGTGGCCTGGGCGTGTGCCTTGGGTGCAGCCGGACCGTGAACCCAGAGACAGAGGTGCTGGCTCGGGACGGCCAGGGTTGGTTTTTGTGTTGGAAAGTGTCCCCGGCAGCCAAGTGCATGAGCCGAGGGCAAGTGGCGTCTCCAACCATGAGGATGAGTGAGGAGTGTGGTGACGGCCTAGAGGCCAGGCTCTCGACCCTGACGGGGTCTCTCCTGAGTCTAAGGGTCAGGAGCTGCCTGGGGGACTGGGCCTGGGTCCGCTTCGAGCGTGTCCTTCTGGAAGGGGGGAAGCCAGGACGGAGGGGCAGGCGAGGCCGAATGTGAGCCCCGTGCATCCCCGGGTGCAGCTCCCCTTTCTTGCCCCCGATGTGCCATTGGGCTTGTCTGCTGGAGCAGCAGGCCGAGAGCACTGCGCCGGATGCTGGGAGGCCTTCTGGCCGAGGGATGTCAGGGAGCTGCCTCCACAGGGACAGGCATGTCTGCCGTCCCTCCCTGGCGCGGTGCAGACGGCCCCGGTCTAGTCACAGGGACCATGGGGCTGCTGTCGCCCTCCTGGGGAGCATCCTGCTTTGCAGGGCACCTGAGCATCTGCCGAGCGCCTGGGAGACACAGGGACCACAGGGAGCAGAGCGGGGAGCACGGCGAGAGAGCGAGTGAGTGGTTAGGTGGGTGCCCCGCAGCCCCTCCCTCTGCCGCCTGGCACCTCTCGTCCTTGCGTTTGTAACTCCTTTCTCAGAACAGTCGTCTGCGCTGTCTGTTACCCATTCGATGTGCATTCGCCACGTGCTAGATGTGTGAGGCGCCCTCGGTCCTGGGAGCCCTGCCCAGGGCCATGGGGAGCTGCACCAGGGGCTCCGGGCAGGAGGGGAGCAGGGCATGGCCATGGGTGGTCTCCGCAGGAGGTCAGACCCCAGCCGGCTCCCAGCATTGCGGGAGAAGGCCGTGCTCCACGTGACAAGGACCTGCCTGTGGTGTGTGCTGGGGTCTGGGGGTGAGGCAGTGCTGCGAAGCTGCCGTAGGAGCCCCGCAGTGAAGGGCTTCGCCCGCCCGCTGGGAGCTTGCCCCCTGGTCTGCTCAGCTGCCTCTCGGTTCCCAGTCTCTGGGGCCGTGATGTAAGCGCTGTGCTTGCGGAAGACTCTGCCGTGTCAGAGGGGGAGGGGGCGGCTGAGGAGGGTGTCAATAGAAGAGGATTGGACCCCCCCCAGCAGAGACAGGGCAGAACCGGAGCCACGTGACAGGGAGGTGCAGCGGGTGTGGCAGCTGCCACTGCAGCAACAAGGGCCCCGATAGCGGGAGCGTGCCCAACCCCATGGCCTCCACTTGGGGGCTCCGCCCAGGGCCCAGGCTGGCAGGAAAGCACGTCTGCGACATTATATTTGGATGGCAGACATGGGGACAAACCACATGCCGGTGGACGCTTCTGCGCTCTTGTCTCATGAGCCAGGACCAGTCCTGGTCCAGCTTAAAGGGCTGCCCCGTCCCCAGGTTGGTCCGCTGCAGCGCTGGGCTCAGGCGCTGGGCCCCCTCAGCCCCTTGGGCTCTTCCTGCTCAAAATCTGGTCCATAGGCCAGCGGCCACGCATCCCCCGGGAGCTCGTTAGCATCTTAGCCGCTGCCCCCCCCCAGAATCAAAACCCGCATTTTAATGAACTCCCCAGGGGTTCCCCCATGGCAGCCACCCCCCTTGTTACATCTCCCTGTTGGCAGCCCCCAAGGGCGTGCTGAGGTCTCAGCTGCTGAGGGCCTGCTCCACATATGAACATGAGTGTAACACACAGCTTTCAAAGGTGCTCACTGACAGACAGGTGGACGGACAGGGAGAGCCGTGTCAGGCAGCCTCTGAGCACCCTACTTTCCAGCGCGTCTCCTCCAGTGAGGGGTCAGGTCCAGACCCCCGAGGCTCCACGTGCCCCGGCCAGCCCTGCCCCTCGCCCTGCCGCCTGCCCGGCTTAGGGACAGCGCTGAGCGCGGGGCTCCCGCAGGGAGGGTTGAGACGGGCGGTGTGGGCTGGAGCCACTGCAGGAAGCTCGCTGCCGCTGGGCTGGCAACAGTTAACCGGCCGAGGGCAGGATAGGTGAGCCGGCCGTGGGCTGCGCATCAGGCCCCTCAAACCCCAGGCCCTCGGGAGCTGCCAGGCTGCATCTGCAGAGCCCCAGGGGTGTGCGTCCTCTCGCAGGCGGCCCAAAGATGGAGCCCAGCCGCCTTCCTTTGTGCGCCCAGAACGGGCATTCTGCGAGGCAGGTCGCCGCCTCCTGACGCCGGCGCGTTGGCGGCCGCAGCATGACCTTAAGCCTCATCTCCGTGCTGTCGCAGGATATCTCCGGGCTGTGGCTCCTGCTGAAGGCGAGCACAGGTGCGTCTGGCCTCGCGTTGGCGCTTGCTGTGGGGCGACGGTGCGTGGGGGGCGGGGGGACCAGGGACCTCCTGGTCGCCCACGTAGGCGGCTGCAGAGACTGAGCCGGCGGTCTGGCCTGTAGGTGGGATCCAGGCTGGGGCGGTGCCGATGCAGGTGGCAGTGGCAGTCCCCCTCCTGGGGGTGGGGGCGTGTTGGGCGCCACCGGCTGGTTTGGGGCTGTGGCCCCCGGCTTCTCTCCCTGCCCGGGGTGCCCCTGGGGAGCCGCTCACTGGGCCTGCCCTGGGAATGAAGGGTCACAGTCGCACGCACACCCTGGGAGCCACCAGAATGCACCCCTGCTGGGGCTCCTTTGTTTGAGCTTTCCCATAGACACGGTGCGCGTGCAGCAGGGAGCCACAGAGCCTGGGAGAGAGGGCAGCAGTCCCCGGCGGTGATCCCGGGCCAGTGCCGTCCCCCGGTGTCCATGCACCCTGCACACCATTGAAGGCCTCTCTCTGGGCGAGCAGGGTTCAGGACCGGGCGGTCCCAGCCTGTGGACGGTGAGGGCCCGTCCTGGGGGATCTGTGTGGCCCTCATGTGTTGTCCCTGCTCCCGTCTCATCGGAGGGTGGGTGCTTCTGAGATGCCCGTGGGGACGGAGGACAAAGACCTGGGATGGGCCCTGCCCTGGCCTGAGCAGAGGGGACTGTGTGGGTCTCCTTGTGCTTCTGAGGATGAAAGAGCATTCATTGTGAAGCAGTTTGTCTTAAGTACGTTTTCCAGCAGGTACTTCTGCCAAGGATTGATGGATAATTCATAAAACAAGTATTCTTGTAAATTTTAATCAATCAGTCAAACCTTAGCTGTCCGTGACAGCTAATAAACATCTACAGTTTCCAGTTTTACAGTGAAGAGACTGGGTGTGTGAAGAATGGCTGAGTAAATGAGTTTCCCTGGCAGATAAGATTCAGAGACCATGAGGTGCTCAGGTGGCCCCACGGAAAGTCGAAATCACTCGTTTTTAAATGCGGAACACGAGCTCTTGGACGTGTGGGAAGAGGTGCTTTCATGTCTGAATTCAGTGTCACTGGGACAATGCCAGAAGGATCCTAAAAGGACGCTCTCTCGCACGCAGCTCTTCTGGGATGGTAGGAACTTCTCCCGTGTGTGGCGCTCTGTGTGAGGTCGCCCAGATGTCCTCTGCCGAGGGTGTGTCCCTGTTGTGTTGTGGGAGGACTCTCCGGTGTGGCCAAACGGAATCATTCTTGATGCCCATTTGTTTTCCTAAATAGAAATTAGTTGGGGCCAGCCCCGTGGCCGAGTGGTTAAGTTCACGTGCTCCACTTTGGCAGTCCAGGGTTTCTCCAGTTCAGATCCTGAGCGCGGACATGGCACCGCGTCCCACATGCCACAACTAGAAGGACCCACAACTGAAATATACAACCATGTACTGGGGGCTTTGGGGAGAAGAAGAAGGGAAAAAGAAGAAGATTGGCAACAGATGTTAGCTCAGGTGCCCAAAAAAAAGAAATTAGTTTTAATTCTTCTAACTTTCCCTTAAAATTCTTAGTTTTTCTAGCTCATGCTTTATTTTTAAGATGAACAGGCTCTCGAATAAACATCCGAGGAAGTTCGGTGTAATTATGGGTTGGGAGGCTTTTTCCCTGTCTCTAGAAACAGTTTGCTGTTTTCCTACCAAAAAGAAGCGTTTATGACTTATGAGGAAACAGATGCTGGTGCATCTGGGGGATCTTTCCCTCGATGACGATGATGATGATGCCGACGGTACGTCCAGAGTGTGTGCTCGGGGGCTTGTGTAACAGGATGCTGACTTCATTGGCGCCTGCTGTTTACAAACAAGGTCACGTGCTTCTCCTGCTCAAGGGGGACGGGAGGAAGCCTGCGGAAGGTTGGTACCTGGCCGGTCGGGCTGGGCGAGAGCAGAGGGGCGTGGTGAGAGTCAGGAGAGTGACACGGGAGACCCGGGCTGGCTTGCTGTTCCAGCCCACCCAGAGCCCCTGCTGAGTGGGGAGGCAGGTTGGAGCCGCTGCCTCGTGCCAGGGACAGGGGTCTCCTGTCGCGTCACTCGTGAAATCAGTGAGGTCAACAGGTGTGCATGACCCGCCACCCCAAACCCGATCCCGAGAGCTCCCTCCCATCCCTCCACCTCCCTCCTCCCTCCACCTCCCTCCTCCCACTCCTTGTCCCTCTCTCCCTCTCTGTCTGGTTTCTGTCTCTCCCTCCCTCTGTCTTTCTCTGTGACTCTGTCTCTACTTCTTTCTCTCTCTGTCTGTCCCTCCCTCCCTGCCTCTCTATCTCTCTGTCTCAGTCTCGCCTTCTCTGTGTCTGTCTTTCTCTCCCCTTTCTCTCCATTCCTGTTTCTCTCTGTGTCTCTGTCTCTATTTCTCTGTCTCTCTGCTTCTCTGTCTTTGTCTCTGTCTGTCTCTGTCTGTCCCTCACGTGCGTCGTGTCTCTCCCTGTCCCGTGTACCTGACCAGCTGTGGTCCCGAGGCCAGACTCCTGGTGGAGCGGATCCCTGGAGCGCATGTGCCCTGTTCTGCTCTGAGCCACCCCGTCTGGCGGGGGGGGGGAACCCCATCACATGGGCCACCCATCCCCTCGCCCCGCGGCCCCCTCCTCCACGCCCTGTGTCGTTGTTTCTGTCGGTTGGGTGTGTGTTTTGGTGAAGGTTAATGCAGCTTCTTATTCCTTCTTAGCTTATGGAATTCTCGGCGCTTGGAAGGGGGGCAAACGTGCTTGTCCGCGGTCTAGGCAGGAACTTGGGAGTTTTCGAGGGACCTGGTGTTGGTGGTGGGAGCGGCCGTCCTCCCTCGTGTGGCGTGCTCCCAGAGCAGATCCCGACAGCAGATGCATGTGAGCGTTGCCAGCGAGCCCCCGGCCTCGGAGGGGGAGGCGCGACCCTGCGGGAGTCAGCGGGTGTTCCCCTGATCTCAAGTTCTGTTCTGCGATGTGGACTAGAGAGCGTTTCAGAACCAGGAGAAGAGAAGGAAGCTGCCTGAGAAACCTGCTTTATTCCGAACCAGCGGGCTCGTGTGTGCGCTGTGTTTGTGTGTGTTGTATGTGGCATCTGTGTGTAGTGTGTGCGTGTGTGCATGTGCGTGTGAGGCATGTAAACCACATCTACCACTCCAGTCAGCAGAGGTGCAGATGCCTGGGAACCTGAAGTTGGGGCACGCTGGGGACCAGTGTGCGGGGACTCAGGCCGCGCTGTGGGAGGGGCCAGTGGCGGCCGGCACAGCATGCCTGTGGGGCCCAGCGTCCAGGGGGCTGGGCTGTAGCCAGGGCAAGGTGGCCGCCGTGTTGTCCGGACACTGCTCCAGGCATGAGGGCCGGCTGACTGAAGGGGGCGTGCACACTGCTTGTAGGCAGACTGAGGCCGCGCTGGTGCTCTTCCCGCTCCGTCCTCCACCCCAAGTCTGCTCAGGCCCCGGCTTATTGGATGCGTGTCCTGCGGCCAGCTGTCTTCAGCATGACAGCTTAGCGCTTCCTCCCTGTGGAGCTCAGGCCACCATGAGCCCCACGGAGGCCTTGGACGGGCCGCAGTGGGCAGCCCTGTCCGTGTCATCTTCAGAGGGACTGGAATCTCCTGGTGGCTTGCTCATCTGGACCCAGTCCTCATCCCGTGGACGGCTTGTTTTCACCCCACTGGCTACACTGCAGGTGAGGCGTGCACCAGGCCTGGCCGTGTAGAGTGTAGACTGAACAACCAGCGCAGTCGGCAGGTCCCGTCTAATTGGGTGCCAAGGGGAGACGCTCAGAGGTGGAGCAGAGCCCCTGCAGGGACGTGGGACATCCCCACCGGGGACGTGGGCAGAACAGCTCAGCTTTGTGGGGGTCTGGCCTGCTGTGCACGAGACCTGCTCTTTTCTCCAGGGACTTGGGTCAGGGGGCATGGGTACCTAAGCGGCAGCGTTCCCTGAATTAGCCGGATCCTCTCAGCCTTGGACCCAGGAGAAGGGCACCTGGAGCACGGCGTACCTCCTGAGGTCGTTGCCCGCTGAAGGAGCAGGGCATCAAGTGACATCCAGGCCTCAGAGACAGCCTCCTGCCGTGTGCTGTTCCCAGGCTGGCTCGCTCTCACACACGCCTCTCACCTGGATGCGCGCTTGCCAGCTCTGGGGTCCCAGGGGTGGGGGCAGCGCTGGCTCCCCCGTCAGGTGGGCCTGAGCCGGAACGCGTGATGTAATGCCCTCGGTGGGCTTGTGGGGCCACATGAGCCGGTCCCCGGGAAATACCTCTCCTGGTCCTGGGACCAGATGCAAACTTCACGGGGAGGGATGTCATCAACAACAGTGAAAGGTCCTCAGACGCCTGGCGCTGAGACCCCGGAGCTGATCCTCAAATCCGGTACATGAGGCTGGAGGGGGTTTCGGCAACGGAGCGAGCACAGCCCTCCAGGTGCGAGTTTCCCCTCCGCCTTACCTGGCCCACCTGTCCCCCCGCTTCCTGCTGGCTCGGCAGACGGCTGGCAGGTCTCCATGGGCCACCCTGGCCCCATCCAACCTTCCTGGCCCTGGCGGCTGGGCCCCCGACACCCCTCCCAGCCAGAGCCTCCCGACATGCGGGTCTCACTCCCCGGACAGGCCCGTGTGGGGCAGGATCAGTGAGGCCGGCCGTCTGCGCTCCGCGTCCAGGGTCACCGGCCTGCCTGCCTGTCTTTTGTGCCCCCTGGGCCACACGGTGGGCAGGGCCAGCTCCCCCTGCTCCTGGGTGTGTGGCCTCAGGGTCTGGGTTCGCTGGGACCTTTGTGGCACCGAGCGGTTTGGTGACTAAAACACACGCTGCGCTTCTCGGCTCTCTGGCCGCCTCCCTCCACCCCCTCCCTGCGCGTGAAGACAGGTTTGTGTTAGTGATGCTGCCATCGGGTTTCCGATCTGCTGCCACATCAGACGACTGGAGGTGTGTTTCCCAAAGCGCCACCCAGAGCCCGTCCCGGCCCTCCTGCCAGGCCCCTCACACTGCTTCTCGTTTTGGCGGCAGTGTGAACATCCAGGTTCC